GAGGGGGAGGGGGGAGACGAGGGAGAAGGGAGGGAGGACGAAGAGTAAGAGGAGGAGGAGGGAGGAAGGAGAGAGAGGGCGGGCTGGAGAGAGGAGGAGAGGGAGGAGGAGGAGGAGGAGAGAGATGAGGAGGAGGAGGAGGCGATGAGAGGAGGAGAGGAGGTGAGGTGAGGAGGCGGAGGATGAAGAAGGATGAGGAGGAGGAAGAGGAGGATTAGGATGAGGAGGAGGAGGAGGAGATGGAAGAGGGAGGAGGAGGAGGAGAGGAGGAGGAGGAAGGAGGTAAGGAGGAAGAGGATTAGGAGAGGAGCAGGAAGGTGGAGTAGAGGAGTAAGGAGGAATATGAGGCAGAGGAGGAACATCAGAACCTTGGGGAAGGCGGGTGCGGCCTCAAGGGCCCGCAGGGGGCCCCCGTGGGCGGCCGCGGAACCTTGTGCTGGCTCGACTGGGGCCACTGGCCGACAGGGCCATGTGTGGGGCTGTGTGTGGAGCCGGCGTCGCGCCAAGGCCGCCCTCGACGAGGCCGCGGGAGCGGCCGCGAGCTTACAGTATTCGGCCTGACCTGAGGAGCGAGAAAGAAGGAACGAAGCCCCTTCCTTGCCAAGAAGAGTCTGTAAAGTCCGAAGGACCACCAAGGGGGCTCGCCGCCAAAAAGGTAGCGGAGCGCATGCAAACCAAAGGAACGACCGAGCCCCTTTTGAAACAGAAGTGCTCCTTATTCAAGCCGGACCCTGTAGGGCCCGCAGGGTGGCTGGAGAAGACCTCTGAAACCTTGCTGACTCGACCAACCACTGGCCGACAATAGGGGAACGAACATTGGCATATACATCAAAACTCGGAGGTCCGCGCGGATTTCTCGGATCCGCGCGGACCTCCGAGTCATTATGTTTCTGTCATTGTTCGTTCCCCCAGCTGAGGCGGTGTGCTAGAACACCCAGCTTCGCACCGCGAGCTGCGCGGTAGTCTTCGCGCTCTCCCGCTGGCCGCCCCCTCTCCCAAGAGGGCCGAAGGGGCCAACACCATTGATTTTCCTTTGCAGGTTTTGGGCGTTCTCGCCCTTTCGGCTTCCCGACGCTCCCAGACGGCCCTGCAGGCCCCAGGACGGCTCAAGAGGTCTCCCCCCGAAACGGCCCAAGAGGGCCCCCAAAACGGCCCAACAGGCGCCCAAGGCAGCCCAAGGGATCCCAAAAGACGGCTCCAAGAGGGAGCCCAGACGGAGGACTCGAGCCCTCGGCCCAGAGAGGCCCTGGGGTCTCAAGAGGCTCCCAGCAGGCCCCCAAGAGGCCCCAAGAGGCCCCACCAGGCTCCCAAACTGCCCCCTAAGAGGCCCCCAAGGGCGCTCCGAGGAGACCCCTAAAAGCATCCCCAAGAACTCTGACCCCTGAACCCAGGCACAGTGGCGGGATACACCGAAGGCCATGGGATGTACCATATGTCTAGGGCATGGCGCTGTGACAGCGATAAGCGCGGGAACGTGATGTGAGGGGTTACCCGTCGGTCGAAAGAAGTGGGTAGAAACATGACATAGATTGGGCTTCCGTCCGCTCCCCTGAGGACGAGGGAAGCGGGAAAACCACTTCACTCTTTAAGTCGGACGGCGCCTAACGTAGACTGGAACTGATGCATCTCAAAGTACCTACTTTCAAGGACCGACGGGTGTGCCCACCCACCTCCCGCCCGCCGCCGAGCTCCAAGGCGAGAAGGAGGCGGAGGAGGAGGAGGAGGAGCAGGAGGAGCAGGAGGAGGAGGAGGAGGCGGAGGAGGAGGAGGAGGAGCAGGAGGAGCAGGAGGAGGAGTATTTTTAGTACTCCGCGGCCCGCAGCCTCCCTCCGCCGCAGCACCGAAGCCCTGAGGAGGAGCAAGACAAGGGGAAGGAGAAGGAGAGGAGGACGGCCGGCCGCACTCATGCGGCAGCCACCTGGGGTCCCAAGAGGGGCCGCCCCCAGGAATAGCCTCGACGATGCGGACGAGCATGCCGAAGCAGTCCTCGAAGAGAGGCGCCCGAAAGCGCACTGGGGTCCCAGGAGGGGCCACCCCCAGGAATAGAAGCGCCTCGACGATGCTGACGAGCATATCGAAGCGGACCTCGAAAGAAATAGGACTTATACCATGATACACATAGACGCCCAAGACCAGAAGTCTCAAAAGAATGAAAAGTCAGCACGGCGAAATTAGGTGCCGATGTGCTCGGGCTGCTTGCTGCAAAATGCCACACGCCCCTTCGGTAGAATACCTCGGACCAATTTGCCCAAGTTCTGATGTCCGTAGTGACCCATCTGACCAGAACACACATTCGCCAACCTGCGCAGGAAATGCTTGCCGACACAACCGCAGCGCAGACAGGCATGGATCTGCAGGTCCTTGAAATAACCCAAGGTGGGACTCATGAATCGGAACTCCTTTTACATGGACTCCAACATCACCTACTCTCTGAATGTGGCCCTTGAGAACACCCCCCAAACAGGGCGTCTCCAAGAACCTTTCCAGCTTGCGACCACTCGCGCTGCAACCACAAGCCGAACAATGAAATGATGTGCCCATGCCAGTGAAGACCTGGTGCTCGGACAACTTGACACGACGACTGAACTTTTTCGCCATGGACCTCGTCGGACGGACTCGTTTGGGCTCCGCCTCCGTCGCTGCCAGGAAAGCCTTGGCCAGGTGTTTGCGGACAGCACGACCGATTGCTTCCGCATGCTCAAGAGACGCTGCCACTGAACTATGCACAGCCACCACATTTGCCCAGTAACCAGCCGCTTCATCCGCTAAGGCGTTAGCAAGATAATGTTCGATCTGCGTCCCAGCTTGAATGGCCACCTCGACAGACATGTGGCTCTCGATCTTGACGACACTGAGCAAAAATGGGTACTGCGCAACCACGTCCTTGACCTGCAGCCAAAGGTCCAGGTTCGTAGTCGGAAGCCTCCCTTGCGAGAGCTTGCGGAGCCCATTGACCACGTACCCCGAGTCCGTGGCGAAGGTGATAGGGGCCCCTAGGTCGAGCAGATCTTCTGCGGCCCTGAGCAAAGCCGTCGTCTCGCCTCGGTTGATGGTCTGCTTCTTGGGGATGCCACCGCCTCGGGAGAACAAAAGCTGGACGTCTAGGTCGGTGTCGGAGGTCACCTTGATGACTTGATATGACCAGCCAATGCGCCGCAACCTAGCGTCTGCAGAATGGGGCCCTCCTGAAGCATCACCGCCCACCAAGAGATGATCGAGATCCCTGAGATCATCCTTATGGCCGATGACCTCATCATACGGGTTGTCTGTCGGCTCGTCCACCTTGGTCCAGGGAGCAGGCAGTATGCCCCTCAACCACAAGCAGGGAAGGTTCTCGTAGTCCTGGTGGGCCCTGCTACGCAAGTTTGAAGAGACCGACGAGAACACCTCATTGCAAGAGCACGACCAACTACGATGCAAATCGGTCTCTTCCAATCCACACTTGCAACGCTGACAATCGGTGGTGTCCAAATTGCAGCTGCTCAGGGTCGAGATCCTGCTGCGCGTCCACGAGGCTCCCGTCATGACAGTCTCGATAGCGCCTGCCATCTCAAACTCGCCCTTCTTCTTCAAAGATGTGAGGTGACGTCGAGCTTCACAGACGTCAGCTCCCTCTTCAAGACCTTTGCCATTCCAATGCCTCGAAGCCTTGTCCCAAAGCATACGATCGATCGTATCAGAGATGGCATCTTTGAGGGCACTCATATCTTGGGGACCTTGACCGATGATGCGGTCTGGGGCCATAAATCTTTCTCCCAGATCGGAAATCCATGCCCAAGGCCCCACAGGGTCCCAACCAATGTCTAAGAGCGTGGCTATAGTTGCAGATACCACTCCAGTGATGCCTCCCCATCTGTCCTTCAAATCCCTGCTGTCAATCCGTCTTCGTGCCGTCCTCCAGGTACGACGTGCCAACTCTAGGTCGAAGCCTGGTTTGAAAATAATGGACATCCAAGATTCCACCAGCCTGTGCACGATCTGATACTGAGGGTCCTTGCGGCCGACACGTAGTTGTAAAAGAGTTGTGAGGCAACGACCTGGCCACTTCTTTGCCAGGGTCTGTCCCAGAGCTTTCCTCCAGCCGTTGATGACCGACGGAGCCGCTCCAACGACTTTGTCCGAATAGTCCGCCATCGGAAGAACACCCATCATGGCCAACTTTGCGCCGATCTTCTTGCGGACCGCACCTTGAGCAAACCGCTTGACACGAGTGAAACGCTGCTGAGCACCCCTTCGCCGCTGAGCCTGCTTCGGACGCCGAAAGCCAACCGTGCCTCGATCGATGCCCAAGTCGGTGGCGACACTCTCGATCTTGACTTCGAAACCCTCCTTGGCGAATCCTCGTTTCAACTCCTTGCCTAGCCCAGCATTGTTGGTAACTATCGTCGACTTTGCCGATATCACCAAACCTGCCTCAGAGCAACCTTTTGCAAAAGTCAAACCAGCTTGCAAGGCTAGTCCGAGAACTCTTTTGTATCTGCCTTCCACTCTTTGAGAAACGTCATCCACCCAGGACCTGACCGTAACACCAGGAGATCCCTGCGCCACTCTGTCCAAGATGTTGTACAGATCACAACGAGAGAAATCCACTGCGCCGCCAAGTCCAGCTATCATGCTCTGCTCGGGTATGATGGCATCAGAATAATAACCACTGTCACGGAGGAAACGCACTCCCATGTGTAAAATCATCTCCAATGCCAAGATGCACGGTGGAAAATCGTGCTCCATACCAGTCTTCAGTAAGAGCTGCCACTTGAGAGCGTCGTAAAACCCCTCAATGTCCCACAGCACGCTGGCCTGCACCCAATCTTTAATCGTGGTGAGCGCGACAGTCTCGTCCAGGTAACTGCGAGCTAAGGCCTCGCGCAAGGCTGAGGAACCTGCCACTGCTGCATCCCAGTGCCCAGCCTTTGCCTTTGTCCAGCTGGCACGGTACTCGCCTCGACAACTTGACCAAAGCCTCGCCAAGGTCGATAATATGCCAATGGCCCTGTCGTCACCGCTCGGCTTGCGTAGAAGAGTGACCAGAACCACCGTAAGTTGCCAAGGCCATGCCACTGACTGTTCAATAAGCTGAAAAAGTTGGACCAGCTCCTGCTTACCTTGCTCGGGCAACCAGATGAGGTCCCTCTTCCCCAACTGCTCAATGCCCTTCGCCGACGTGCCCTTCATCCTTCGGATGCCGTCTTCGAGCGTCTCCAAGTCGAAGAGAGGGAAAGCGTCTTCACGAGCGCGAGCCCTAGCACGTCCCAAGAGTATGGTAACCTGGCCGATGTCGAGCTGCTGGTCACTCCACTTCTTCTTCCACACCTTAGCCCGAATGTCCATCGCCGTGAGGGGGTCCGACGATATTACCTGGCCTTCCTCGAACTCATCCTTCGAGGTGGCCTTGTCCTTGATAAGTCGAAACAGCTTCCCAGGTGCGGCAACATACTGCTCCTCCGCCCATTGGGAGAAGGCCAGATACTGAGAATAACATTCCATCCGCTGCAAGCTGGCAGCAATCTTGCTGCTCTCGTCCTTGTAGCGCCTGATGGTGTCGTTCGTGGCGATGTTGAGCTGCCGCAGCTTCCTGCACCAAGCCGTTTTCTCCTTGTGCGGGAGAGAAGCCAGGGTCGAAGAAGGAGCCCAAGCCGTGGCCTCCCTGAGTCTGGTAATTAGCTTTCCAAACCGAGGCGATTCTCGCTTGGAACTGGCCCTGTCCAACTCCTCCATCAAGAAAGCAATCTTGGCCCACCAGTCCACTCCAGGATCCCGTGTGCGTGTAAATGGGGGGGACGGCACCACTTTATGCGTCCTGGTAAGTCGAGCCAGACCTCGGCCTCGATGAGCCTTGCTGTCTTTGTCCAGACCCTCGCCGTCGAGCAGGTGGCTGAAGAACTCTTCAACCTTGCCCACCCACTCGCCGAAGGCAATGCCCAGCTTGCCAGCGCTATCAGAGGTAAGCCTCCAAGCGTGGGAGTCCGTGACGTACGACGGCGGTTCCGACCAGCGATGATCCTGAGGTATGCTGATGGACGACCAAAGATCGGCGCGCTGATCAACTGACCACTTATCGCCTAGGCCAGCTCCACCCCCAGGAGGGACCAGGCCTTCATCTTGATCCTCTGGTTCGTCAGGTAGAGGCTCGTCGTCGTCAGGCTCGCCCTCATCGCTCTCCGAATCCTCCCCAAGATCCATAGGACCCAAGAAATTGAATGGAGGAGGAGATTTGATACCAAGCCGCCGTCTCTCCCCGAGCTTGGCGATCCTCGGTCTCGCTGACGTTGGAGTAGCCACCACCGCCAACTTCCTCGAGCGCTTGCTGTTTGGATCCGCCTGCTTCTTGGGCTGCGACGGAGGACCAAAAGCCTTTGGTAGGCTAAGAGTACGTTCCTCAGCTGGCTTGGCAGCCAGAAATAAGTCCAATACAATACCGTAATGCGCTTTGCCGCCTTCGCCCACTAAGTCCGTGTCGGCGTGAATGCGGTCCAAGTATTCCAAGGCAGACCCTGAAGCCACAACATAGTCTAGGAGCGTTCCCTGCCCTCCAGTGTACGTGTAGTCCACGTTGTCTGCCACCAGGATATTGCCTTGGACCAAATTGAGCCACCCGGCCTTGCGGAGGGTATCTGGAGGAAAGTTCCAGTCGCATAAGATGACCCAAGGTGTCGATAAAGAAGAAACGAGTGAGGCCAAATGTCTGAGTTTCTCCACGTTGGCGCCCGTGATGCCCAGCCCATTGTATAAGTAGCCCCCGATAAATCGTGAGATGTGCACCTTTCAAAAGCACCTGCATCCCGACCAGATCCTTAAAACGAACTCCAGTGGTAAGAGCCGCCACGTCCTTCTTGCCTTTATCTGCTCGCTTACCAGGTAGCTCGTCCTTGTTGGAGGCCAAGTGCCTGAGTGACCAAGATGACCATTTCTTTGAGACACCCATCGCGACACCACCAGCTTTCTTCGTGAAGATAGCAGCACCCGCTGGGCACACCATACTTTTGTTACCCGCTTTATCAAACTCCACCAAGACGTCATTGGTTTCGTCCATGTCCATGTGGGTCTCCTGGATGATGACCGCGTCGTAGGACCGTTTCAACAGCGCCTTGGCCGACGTACCCCAGGTCGACATGTTACGCATGTACACCCTAAACTGCGCACCATCTCCCATGTCAGCCTCTGCCTCCTTCTCGGTACTCTTAGTGGCCACAATAGCTTGTATGACCCAGTCCCAGAAGATGCACATTCGATCCTGAGCCTGATCGTCTTCCATGTCGCCGTCAGCTTGATCAGGAAAGAAACGATCTGGAGGAACTCGATTCCCAAGAAGGCGTCGAAACCTTCGGCGCAGCTCACTAAGGTCGTCGAAGTGCCATCGCAGGAATCTCCTGTAGCGCCTAGGGTTCCTGATGGAATTGAGCGCGTTGAAGAAGAAGGCCCTGTGCGGCTCCGCTGTTACCCATGCGCGTGTGCATAAATGTTCTGCGATGTCCTGCAACGACATGCGGTAGTAATTCTCCAGGTTCTGACGGAGGCCGCGCATAGACCGACGAGAGAGCGATGCCACAGTGTACGGAACACACCACTCCTTCCAATGCTCAAAAGAATTGTAGCGTTCGCCTCTGATGTCGTGGACCCACCTGGACGCGGCAGCCGTCATATCATACCTCAGATCTCGCCGCTCTCTGGCTCGATCCACTCTGGGAAGTTGAGGAGGTCGTGGCAAACGCTCTCGAAGTTCAGAGCCTAAGTCAGCGTAGAGCTCCCAGGTAACCTTCCAGCCACTTGCCTCAATCGAGCCCTCGAGGAGAAGGGGACTGTCGTGCTTCGCGAACAGAGACCTTTCCTTGCCAACAGAGATCCGTGGCCAGTTTCCAACCCGAGCCAGCCCAGCAAGTGGCAACGACGAGCGTGGCGACGTCGAACCTGGGTGTCCAGGATTTTGCATCCTGACGCCCGCCTGGAAAGAATCTGCCTGTGCCGTCGACTGCGATAAAAACATACCGCGGCCGAAATGGTTAATTGCCTCAAAATGCTGCTGCGACACAAGCTGATCTGTCCAGGAATCTTGAAAGTTGACGCTGTCAAAAGTACGAGATAACTTCGAACCGTGCCAGTGCCATGCAGGTGTCTCAAGCGGAGTCGCCTCTTGCGAATAAAAACTACTGGGACAGCCATTCCCAACCAACAAATCAGGGGTCCCGAGAGAGACCACCCCCTGCCCACCATCTGGGTACTTGAAGTAACCACCACTAGAAAGCCCAAGAGAGACTGCCATTTGAGACGAACGATCGTCCCAGAAAAAGCAAACCTGGTCCTCCCAAATCGTGCCAAGGGTCCCGCGAAGGGCCACCCCTTGGTAGACATGCTCCTCCAACGAGCTGCAGACCGCCTCTGACTCGAGCTTGCCAGGGGTCCCGAGAGGGGCCACCCCCTGGTATGCAGTCTCATCTGTGGAGCTGTGGACCGAGGCCTCCCAGTCCGTGCCAAGGGTCCCGAGAGGGGCCACCCCTTGGTATGCAACCTTATCTGTGGAGCAGTAGATCGTGTCATACCCGTCCGTGCCAAGGGTCCCATGAGGGGCCACCCCTTGGTATGCTAGTAAGCTGTCGTCGCCCTGGCCGACGTTCGTGACAGGGGTCTCAAAAGGAGCCACCCCCTGCAGTAAATTCGTGCCGCCGAAGTCCTGGCCAGGGGTCCCAGGAGGGGCCACCCCCTGGAATGACCTCCTGGACGTCCAAGTTGATGCCGTACTTGCAGTAGGTCTGCCCGACTTGCCCTCTTCACTGGCCTCCCCCTGCGCTGCTACCTGCCCATGGCGGGGCGGGAGCCAGGGTTCTGCCGAGGGTGGGCTGCTAAACTGTCGACTGTCTGCCAACTGCGCCTGCCCTCTTCCTGGCTAGCGCTTCATCCATGATGGTGCGGAGCTCGGTCTGCTTGCCGTCGACCAAAGGAGATGCCCTCGCCCAGGAAGATTTTCCAGCCGCCCCTGTCTGAGTCGGTGCCGTAGGTGTGGAGGGAGTGGCCCCCGCCGCAGGGCTTGTGGCTGGAGTGGCCGTAGCCTCAGCGCCACCTGCATCACCAGATCCTCCTTCGCCTGGATTGGCCGCCGAAGCAGGCGGGCACGAACTGGATTTGCGCTTCTTGGCCTGTTGCCAAGATCCGATCTCCTCCACCTTCTTCTGCTGCTGCGAGGCCAAATTCTCCACCACCTTGCGGAACTGCGAGTCCAAAGCCGCACGGAACTCCGTCTCGAAATTGCTTTTGCGCCGTTCGAACTCCTCGCGATCGCTATCCTCAAGGTCCACGTCGTCGAAGAGCCCCCCGAAGCTGAGGTTGAGCTCCGCCTTTTGGTCCAGAAACTGACGGACGTCCAGCTTCCCCAACTCAGATGGAGACGAAGGCGGGGCAGGCGC